AGTCTTCTTGATTCAAAATTTTTGAGCTTTGATTAATTCCGAGTAATTTAGACGATTGGCAAGCATATGTTGAAACGTGAATATCGACCAATTTTGAGTAAACCTATCACATATTCAAACAAGAAAATGAGTGAGGCATATATAATGATCTACGTGTTGAGAGTTTGTCATTTTAAGGCCAAGTTGATATTTGAGGCATATGGTCGTATGGTCGTTGGAATTCAACTCAATTGAGTTATACATTTTGAGGCTCTTCTTATTTGAATCTGTATCCATGCTCGTGTCTTGTTTCGTTTCTCTTTGTTCGGGACGAACAAAGGTTTAAGTGTGGGGGAGTTGTTGTGACCATTTTTGTTACGTTTTTCGTTACTGTTTTGTCATTCTTTTTCCCCCGTTTTAGGTCTTTTTATTAGTTTTTAGTTCATTTTGTAGTTTATTATGTGTTTTGTTCTATTTTGGCTTTTTATGTGTTTTTCGTATATTTTGTCGGTTTTCTACGTTTTCTTCTTGTTTTTTGTGTGCAGGTCAGAAGCCCGTGAGGAATATATGTAGCCCGAAAATCGACCGAGCAACCATGGTTGTGTAGACCGAAGCACGTCTTTGGTGTGCTGGTCATAAGCTTTGGGAGAATTTGATTTCAAGAATAATTTGGCCATGCAAGCATCATTGAATAGAGGGATTCGCTAGCAACGCGTAGGAAAAAATGGAACTCAATTCCGAGATCGGACGAGCCCAAACGAGCCCAAAACGCAAAGTCGCGCACCCAGCCTTTCTTAGCAGAGCTAAGGAATCTTAGCGACGCCAGAGGCTTCCAGCTCTCCGGCCTTAGCGGCGCTAAGGTGTGTTTCAGCACAAAGTGTTTTTCCTCAAATTATGGAATGTTGGGGGGTAGTGCTCGACTTTGGACATGTTTGGTCAACCATGGACCCTTGAAAAACATATTTTTCTCCATGTTTGCTCCATGTTTTGAACCACTCTCCACCTCCATGTTTTGGGAAACTTAAGCATGTTTTTGTGGAATGTTTTGTGGAGGAAAAAGGGGAGAATATGACTATAAATAGGCAAGGTCTTGTATTGAAAGAAGACAACTCCATAGAGGGGTTCTCCCTCTCTTCTATCCACTTTTCTCTTAAGTTTTCTTTGGTTTTGCAAGTTTGAAGAAGAACATTTTCAAGACTTTTGGCATTTGGATTTGGCTTGTACTTGTTATTGACATTGGAGTTCAATTTAATAGTAAGTTCTCTTTTTCATTGTTTTTATGATGATGATGATGGCTTTAATTGATTTGAATTCTTGTATTGAAATTGAAATGTGTGGCTAATCCTCTAGCTAGGGTTAAGGGATAATCATTTCGGTTCGTTCTCGTTTATGTGCATGACGATAGCTCAATCTTTGAGAGTTGTTTTAATTGGGAATTGATAAACTCATGCTTGATATTTCGATATAACCTAAGAGTGACACTTAGCAAAATTTATTGATATAATCGAAGAGTGACACTTCGATATTGCACGATTGAATATTGATTTATTAAGTTAGAGTTTATTGATTCTACATGATTAGTTGACTAAACACCTTCTAATCGAATTAGCGACTTTTAGAACCGAGAGGGGAGGAGTCGTAGAGTTAATCGATTTAAAAACCGAGAGGGGAGAAATTGGTGGAATTTAGCTCGTTTAGAGCAGACATGTTCGGAGACGTATTGTCTATGCGTTAATTGTTTCGTTAATTTATTCGTTTATGTTTATTCGCATGTTACGAAGAGTTATTGAGGATAAACCGCCAAATGAGTTAATTAGTCGAGCCTTTTAACCGAGTTATTGATTGCCGTTAAATGTGTGTAGATCCGGAAGCGATTATCCCCGATTCCCTAGCTTCTTTATCATTGTTTCTTTTATATTTTTAGGCAGATTATTGTTTTATGTTATTTCTTAGTTGATAATTTTCCGACCATATTGTGATTAGAATGTTTAGGATTTATTTTCCTTTTATGTGTTATCAATACAAATTCTAAATTTCGAACCGCCTTTCTCGAGAGATCGACCCGAGGCCGGGAGTCATCCCGTACTCGGTAAAAATATAATTTGCTACAACACTATCCATTCTCCACACTTTTCCAAGAGCCTTTTCCAAACGATCACAAGAAGATCGTCATCATTGATTTCAAGTAAGAGTAGTTCGAGCCATCCAATTGTGGAAGCCTAGACATGGATCCACCATCATGATTCATGGCTGCCCATTAACATATCCTCAAGATCTTTGTGTATACGTACGAAAGTCCACTATGATACCAATTGATATTTTGGGAAGATATACAAGAATTGTGCTAATAATATAAACCAGTAAACATAGATGTGGGTTCACTTAATTACGGAAGCAAGATTTTACAAAACATGAACCTTCAATAGGGCATCCCACTCTCCCTTCAGAACTCTTTCATATATATAGTGTTTGGCCCATTACACTTAGGAATTACAACGAAGACTCCCTCTTTTAAGCCTAGAATATAATCACCTATACAACTGCCCTTTTGACTACAAATCCCTTGTGGATTTTCACAACACGAATCCGTCATATTGTTCTAAGTGTTTCTCCCGAACACCTATATTATCTCAAAGTATAAATATACTCAATGAGATCGCGAACAAACTCTCGTATCCACTCTAATAAAATAAAATTAATCTCCCAAAAATGATTCACACTAACAACTCTCAAAAGCCCTTCCCTCTTACCTTATTTCTTCCAAAATTAGTCGCGTCCACATTCTTGCACTTGTGGCTGCTTATCCCCTTTGCAAGTCATCTCTGCATGGTAAGTTATTCATACATCTCTCTGCCACTCCATATGGAAATTATTCCACATGCCTTGTGACTTCCTTGCATGATAAGTATAATCCTTCTTTCTTTTCGGATGTGGCTGCTTCACATGGTAAGACATCTTGTATATTTCTTTTCAATCTCCTTTAAACAAAATAAACTGATTAAAAATCTCAACAAAATAAAATCAAGAGAATTAAATAAAATAAAGCAAGATAATAAAAACTTCCCTTTAACTTTCAGTATGGTTCTAGAGAATTAAAAATCTTCACAAATACTTACAGTATACTTATATAAGTTCAGTATATGTTATGTATAATTCACAACATGTCGTTTTGTCCCTTTCAACTGTATGTATTATGTTCAGTATATGCCAAGCATATATTCATTAAAACAAAGATATGTTTCACAACAGACTGGTTTTCTCCCTTTACAAAATGTATGTGTATGTCCAGTATATTATATGTTATGTAGATGTTATGTATAAGTTCACAACATATTGTTTTGTCCTTTCAACTGTATGTTTTATATTCGGTATATGCTAAGTGTGTGTATATATATATATATATAGGGGTTGGTTCAAATAAAAACTAGGTCTGGTGTGAGAATCGTGAGAACCATATTTGATGCTATTTTTAATATTGCATGGTGCTATACTTCATTCTCACAAATGCTAATAAAAGTTTTATTGCTATTTTTAATCAAATACATCCTAGTTAAAAATAGCACTAGAACATAATCAATCATAGCACTACATACAATTAAAAATAACGGTTCTCACGGTTCTCACGCTAGGACTTGGTTCTCATTTGAACCACATCCTATATATATATATATATTTGTCAAAACGATAGGAATTTTATAACTAACACAAATAATTACAAATAGATTACGGCCAGAAGCCGAATCTAGTGAGAGGACATCCCGGAGGAGCCTAAACACCACAACGCACCCACGATAATAAAAAAAAAAAAACTCTCAACAGGAGAATTTATATCCCACAGGGGATAATAAGTGCTACTCCCAACAGGAGATCTAGATCCCGACGAGAAAATTATACTAAGGAACACAAAACACAAAAAAACACATCAGAACACAAAAAATAAACCTAAAACACAAAACTAAAAGAAAGCCCTTCCCACGAACGGACTAACACACCAGCCAAAACACAACGGCAACACCATGATCGACCTCCAACCGGCCGGCCTGAGTGTCAACACTAAAAACTGCCATTCACGGCCTAACTAGAATCGAAACGCCAAAAATCACAATCCGCGCCTTGGCGGCCGACCACAACCCCTCAGCCGAAGGTCAGACGAACAGCCCACCCCACACCACACCGCCACCACCCCAAACCGAGCCACACCACGGCCAAGCCCGGCGCAATGGCCGGCTCTTCTTTCCGAACACCAGGGGAAAAAAAATCGAGGAGCAGGCAGCCTCCGCACTCCGCCCCGACCACTACTATGGCAATCGGAGCCGCAACCCGCCCCCGAAGAACACCACAACCCTCCTCCGCCTCGTCGACATGGAAACCGTCGATATCGTCTCGGGATGGCAACCCTAATCCGCTGAAAACCACTCGGGACTGACCGACTCCACAACCGCTCGCGAAGATGAGATCCAGTACCTAATTGAGGACGGGCCGCAAGCCAGGAACCGGCCGCCGTCGAGAAGACCGGCGGCCCCGCCGGGGAAGGCAAGGAACAATTCAATATGGGGCTTTTGCTTTTGGAGAGAGAAAAAAAAAATATGATTCGCCTTGGTTGTACTGATATTTCGATTTGAAACTATTATGCTAAGTATATATTCAATAAACAAAAAATATGTGTTTGATTTTGTATATTTTTTAGAGTTTGTTCATCAACATGGATTAATATTCACGATCGTGTAGTTTATATATATTTGGGAGATGATGTAGTTTGAAATTCAAATTCGTTCTCTTTCTATCTTGTATTGAAACAACATTCTAATTTGTATGATATATAACTTACTGTATAGAAATTTTTTTTTGTGTTAATTCGAAAATCCCATAATCTGTGCAATTTAAGGGGGCGTTACATTTGTTTTGCTAACTAATATCTTGCATCTTTACAATAAAATGTCATGTAATTTATAAAGATGCAATTAAGATTTGCCCCATTGTACAATTACAATTATTTTCAAATCACATTATACAAATGAAAATTCGCCAAACATTTTTGTGTGTTTATTAGACAGTTTCTTCCTTTTACTCCCACAATCACTTCCAGCTAAAGCATATATACTCACAAGAATCGCCAATATTCGATCAATCTAAAAAGCTCTGATTAAATGTTCACCATTATCATAAAATAGAACAAGTTTGGAACAGTAATCCATAAAACATAAAACACAATTATCAATCCATAATGGATCTCAAAGGATGTTACAAAAAGCACCAACAAGGAGAAATAAAGAAAGCTCGAAAACCTACTACTACCCATAACTCATCAATCCCAGTGTGGACCTTAGCTATTCTTCCGCATTTATAGTTCATTGTCTGATTTCTCATTGGTCAACATTTTCCCATTGACTCCAACCAACTCGGTGTCGAAAATGAGGGTCGCACCTCCTATGGATAAAACAATTAATTAAGCAAATAATTTTCAACAATATATATGATATTTCACAAAAAATTGTGGAGACAAATTATAACTCAGCTAATGTGTCACACAACGAAATTATGAAAGAGAGTAATAAAAATTAAACTAAGGCAAGAAATAAACATAATGGAAAAACAATTTGACTCTATGCCGTCAACAATGGAAGCTATTCTTTTAAACAAAATTTGCATACGGTTTTTATTGACTTTGAAAAAGCATATGATAGTGTTAATAAAAATATATTGTAGTGTTTGAAAAGAGAGGGGGTGCAAGTTGGCTATATAGAAACCATAGAAGATATGTATAATAATGTGAAAAATTGTGTTAGGACATTAGTAGGATATCGCGTGAATCCCTATCACTATTGGTTTGCATCAAGATTCGGCGTTGAGTCCGTACCTCTATGCATTAGTAATTGATGAACATACGAAACATTTGCAATTACATGTCACCGATTGCATGTTGTTTGCGGATTACATAGTGTTAGTAGATGAAATGAGAGAGGGGGTAAATGCTAAGTTAGAAACATGGAGAGACGCTTGAATCTAAGAGTTTCCAAATAAGTAGGACTGAAACGGAATATATGGAGTGTAATTTTAATAATGGGGTAAATGTTAAAAATGGGGAACATGAATTGAACACATCTTAAAGTTTTAAATATTTAGAATCCATTCTAGAAGATAATGGTAACATAGATAAGGATGTAACACATAGAATACAATCGGGATGGAACAAGTGGGAGAGCACGTCGTCGATACTTTGTGATTGTAAAGTTGCAAAGGCAAGTTCTATCGAACGGATGACGGTGCTTTATTGATCTGTTGGGCTACTAAATATGAAAATGATCAAAAAATGCGAGTGCCAGAGATGAGAATGTTGAGATGGATATGTGGGCATACTAGGTTAGATACGATTAGAAATGAAAGCATTAGAAATAAAGTTGGGGTAACGCCTATAGAGGTGAAAGTGAGATTAAGATGGTTTTGGGCATGTGCGTAAGAGAGATTTCCCGGTGAAAAGGGTAGAAACATTAGAATTAAGAATGCAAATTAAAAGGGGGAGGGGTAGACTTAAGAAAACTTGAAAGGAACAAGAAAAATAAATTTAAAATATTTAAAGTTGAAGGAGATTATGTGTTTTGATCGAGCACAAAATGTGATCCATATAGCCGAACCCACTTAGTGGAATTTTAAGTGTTTGTTGTTGTTGTAAGAATCAAATATCTAAATAACAAAAAATGAAAGAACCCTTACATTATCAAACTTGTATCTTCATAACAAACCCTACTTCAAAAGATGCAGTTTGGAACACAGGGGAACATAAATGGTACATTGTTACTATGAATTTAATCTCAGGACGGACTTTGTACTGTAACAAGAAAAACAGAAAAAGCTCAAATGTTGTCATTGTACAGGCAAGAGCATGGTGATGCATTTAAACAACAAATTATACTAGACAATGACTCCAAATATAAACTCTAACATCCTGTTAACTTTCATGGACTAAAAGGAGAAAAATGAGTATTAAGTAAATTTCCAACAACTTTCAGTTTGCATACACTGAGATCAACTCACTTGAGATTTGAAAAGTTAGCTTCATTACCTGGAATTGTAGGTGGGGATCCGTTTTCTCCATAACCAAGTTTAGAAGGAATTTTCAACTTCCTTTTCTCTCCCAAGCACATCCCAAGCAGTCCTTGGTCCCACCCTGTGAAACAACTTACATATCTTCAATTGGTGATCCATATAGTTTCAGTCTTAAAATACAAAATGGAATTTTATTAGAAGGGGCCTGAGCAATTCCCCTCAGTTGCATATTCATATAAATAATAAGAAAAAAAAAATGCAATGAAATGTGGAAACAGTATTTGAACTATGTGGAGTATTTTCTGGATATTCTATAAAAGTCCTGACCTGATTAGCTCATTATAAAAAAACATGTGACAAATTATGAAATATTAAAAACATGCAACAAATCATTTTTCAGTTCTATAAACCCTCAGGCCAAACAAATATATATTTTTTTTTTTTCCAAAATGCTACAACTGTTCAGTAGTATGAGCACAAAAAACAAAATGCAGCTTATGAAATCAACATCACAAGTAAAACATGTTTGACAGTTAAGACGAGGTATAAGATAGAGTGAACTGAAAAAATGAAGTCAAATGTAACAAGTACACGACCTTTAATCACTTGACCACTACCAAGTTCAAATTCAATTGGATCCCCCCTTTCAAAGCTGGAATCGAAAACGGTTCCATCTGTTAGCTTTCCCTGCAAGAATAATCGGGAATCAGAATCAACGGAGCACTTAAGCTTACAAATCAAGCATGCTGGGATTACCATCAATAATAGAAATCTACAATTTTATAACAAGATCATAAATCATGATTGAGCGATTTCATATCTGAGGTCAAATAGAGTTCCCAACTGGCTTCACATGTAATTTAACCATTAAGTTACTCCTCTTAACTTCGAAAGCTTTGCTAAATGCTAAAATAAAATTAGTACATATCGATGATCTCTTAATTCACAAAATCTAAACAAACTTTTTTATTAATCATATGCAGGTACGAGGAGTGCATTCTTAAAATTGATCCATCTATTTTATGTTTTGTGTATGTTTGCTGGAAGATAGAGAACAAAATGTGACTTCACCGACCCTGTAATGTACTTTGACCTTGTCGCCTTTGTGAGCTTGAACATCGCAAATCTTGGGCTTGTACTACACCAATAAGCAATGATAAAGATTAGATCAATTTGAACACATAAAAGAGAGTGTAAAGAAAACCACGAATATAGCAAAACACAAGCAACTCACACGCACATATATATCAAACAGCCTTGTCTAATCATGGCATCCTACAATAACCAACACAAAGCGGTGCAATGATTTCATCCTCATAGCTATTGAACTACTTATGTACTTGAAGACGAGTTTCGAGTTGATTTCCGAAGAAGTGGATGATTATCATTAATAGCACTGTGTTGTGTAGCTCAAACAAATCAATTTTTTGAAAGAAAGAGGCTTCGTCGATCTTCAACAGTATTTTAGTTAGTTTATTACCAAAAACAATTATATTGCAGATAATCATTCCTGATTAATTTCGTAAATTCTATTGAAAACGAATTACCTTCACACCGATCTGCAAATCCGCCACATCCCCAGATTTCTTTGCGGAACCTGAAAAATATTCACAATAAAAATTAAACATCGCCCAAGCATTTTAGATACAGCAAAATATTTTTTTCCGATCACAATATATTTTCCAAATAACTTGCATTATAAAGCGAAAATAACTATTTTAAATTTAAATAATATAAGAACCACGAGCGCGATTTGCTTGAATCAGAGAGGATTCTGATTTACCGATTGTAATGCATGCGAAAAGAAGACATGCCAAAGCTAAAATTAACGCCAAACTGGACCTCATTTAGCAGAAATTTGATATAGATCTGTTTCTCTACGCTGAAATTAATGCGGGGAATTGTTTTTTTTTTTCCTTCGCCTCCACTTACATGAATAATACATGAGCTGAGCAGTTATAAATAATTAACATATATAATTTTCCATGTAAGCAAAAAAAAGTTAAAAATGAGGCTCCAACGCAGCGACGCCACTTTAAGCCAATTAGAGCTTCACATGTCAGCTTATGAATTACCTTTGCGATCGTCGTCAATCTTAAAACTTAACGCCACGTGCCATAATTGGACTGTAAATCCACTTAGGGCTCGTTTACTTTGATGGATGGGATAAGACTAAATAATCTGCTTAACTTTACATGTCATCGTTTAGTCCAATGTTTACTTTGAGGGATGGATTTTTGATAAACGAATCCCTTATTTACTTCACTGGATTAAATGAGGGATAATGAACAAAAAAGTAATGAACAGTAGAGGATACAATTATCACTTCCTCTGGGCGTGACAGAAATAATCGGGCAACTCAGCATTTCAGTGTGGGGCCCACCGACACATGTGATTCCACATCTGAATTTTCTGTCCAAATCCATCAATGTAAACAGAGGATAGTGAGGGATAATTTACCTTATCAATCTTATCCCTCAAAGTAAACGAGCCCTTATAGAACCCTTGTTGGGTCATTCTCGAATTTATGACAAGCATAATTTTTAAACTCGGCCTGTTGATCGACCCGGACAGGTCTTCGGATCACTGGGTCACCGGTTCAACCATCGGGTCATCGAGTCAATTGCTGAATCGAATAATTAATTTTAAAATTTTTAAAATTATATATATAGTATTTTTGTTTTATAAATATATATAAAAGTAACAAAATTAAATGTTTTGTATATAAAATTTGTATATTAAAGTGTTAATAATATGTATCTCATGATAAATATTTATCATAAAAACATATATACATAGTTTTATTTTTAAAAAATAAAAAAAATAAAAAAAAAATAAAAAATATATATGGACCGGGTCAACGGGGTTGACCCGGCCGGGTCAATGCCCCGGGTCGACCGGGTCTTGGCCGGGTCGGCCGGGTTTTGACCGGGTCCTTGGTTGCCCGGTCCAAATACTCCACCCGGACCGGTTCCAGCTCCGAGTCGACCGGGTCCCGGGTCGACCCGCCGGGCCGGTCCGGGTTACAAAACAGTGATGACAAGTGTTTTTTTTGTCATTTTAATTAAATAAAAATTCAAAAAATTATTTGTAAATACTAAAACGGTAATTCAAGTTAAATTTATACTCCCTTTTTCACATTTCTTCTCAGTCCCCACCACATTAAACTTCCTCTGTACTCTATATATATATATATATATATATATATATATATATTACTCTTATTATTATTATTGTTATCTTATTTTACCTTATTTTCATAAGAAAATAAATTGAAACTCTCATCTCTCTCTTCATTTTCATCGTTATTCTCTCTCAAAATTCATCGTTGGCTCTTTCTTTCAAATTTTCGTCGCCGAGCGTCGCTCTCTCTCTCTCTCTCTGAAAGTTCCATCTCTCTCCATTCGTCTCTCTCTCTAAAAATTCTATCGCCGATCGTCTCTCTCCCTCTCTCTGGAAATTGCCGGCCAATTCTCCGGAAAAATTCCATGGCGGGCTCGAAAAACCATCCTCCTCGCCATTCCACATCTGATAAACCATCTTCCACAGTAAGCAAAGTAAGATTTTGAGGATTTTTTTCAACAATTTTGAATTTTTTCTTCAATTCGGAATTTGGGGATTTTTTTCAAAATTTTAAATTTTTTATTGAATTCGAGATTTTTAAAAATTAAGTATTTGGTTGATGCTAATGCACTTCAAATTTGAGTTTTATTTCGCCAATTGCGGAAATTTTTGTGAAGTTGGAGAATGAGAGAGAGGCCCAGATGCATATTCAATAAGCTGTAAGATCAAGATCAGATGTCTTGGTAACCTTTAGATAAAAAAGAAAATATCATTTAGTCTGCTTTTTTGCTAAAGAGTTTCTTATGATATGGTTTGTTTTTGGTTTATTCCTTTGACTCCTTTTGCTACCTATGGAAGAAATAAATTTATTGGATTTATTTTTTGGGGGAGTGAATCTTAAGGATGAAAAGTAGTCGAGTTATTAACTGAAACTTTTGATCTAATATCAGCTCACAAATATATGTTTTGTTTCATGTTTTCAGTTGATTTCACATTAATTTGCTTTCTACACATTGTTCGTCATTAATCAATGAATGACTTAGAAAGATGTATTTACATGGATTTTTTTTTAAAAAAAAAAAAAGATATTATGCCTTCCTTTTCCTGTCTATAATGTTTTCCATTGTTTGTATATGCAATTCTAGGATGATCTTCTTCATTAAAAATTGAATATTGGAGTCAAAGATTAATCTTTGGAGGTGGTCAGGATTAAAGGTCTTTCTAACATCTATTTTCCCAAACTAACTTAATCAAGGAACATAATAATGCTCCAGATAATATAGATGAAATCAATCCGTTTATATGCATTAACCGAACCCACAACCTATCAATAAATTTTATGATGTTGCATTTGTAATCCCAGCTTGGCCACTTAATGACCTTGGAGTCGAGCCACAATTCAAGCTTCCAAGTTCAGCATCTGTCATTGAATTAGTCCTTTTCAATTGTCTTGTAGGAAGTGTTCTCTCAGATTACCTATTTAGTCCTACAATTTTGGAATCATGCAAAATCCATGATAGTGTGTGTACATGATTGAAATCAACTCCATCTCCATGAACATTCGGAAATAATGATAAACACTAGCATCTCTATATTTCAAATGTGTTTGTTGGTAAATTAGATCTTAGTTGGTAACTTGATTTAGTCTACGGCATACAATATAATGAGTGGGAAAAACAAAGCAGCACATACACTTCTATTTTATAACTAAAGTATCATGTATATTATCCTTTGGTATTTAGTTGATGCTAATGCACCACCGCTAATACCTCCAAAAGGTGTGCCGGAAAAATCCGGCAGAAGTAATAAACGTCTTCCAATGGCCAGGCGGGGATTGGGTTCGAGCCATATCCAATAAATACACAATCGACTGTCTTTGGCCTGATTCTCATTTGTTTGGGTTCAGGAACTGAAACCTTAGCCAAACACCCCCAAACTTTCAGGTACTTATAAGACGACTTACGATTTTTCCACATTTCGTAAGGAGTCTCATCTTTCCCTTTTAGGTGGTATTTTATTCACGATATGATTTGCTGTTAAAACAGCTTCACCCCACATGTTTTGGGGTAATCCTGAATTTATCAACATGGCATTCATCATTTCTTTTAACGTACGATTCTTGCGTTCAACAACACCATTCGACTGTGAAGAATAAGGGGCCGTCGTTTAATGAATTATGCCATATTCAGAACATATTTATTCAAAAGGAGCTACACTCCCCACCCCTATCACTTCGGATTATTTTAATCTTTTTACAGAGTTGATTTTCAACTTCGGTCTTATAGATCTTGAACGATTCCACAGCCTCGTCCTTGCTTCTTAATAAATATAAGTAGCAAACCTTGTGCAATCACCGATAAAAGGAATAATATACTTTTTAGCCGTTCTTGATTGCACACTTTTCATATCACATACATTAGTATGGATCAAGCCTAATGGTTCAATACTCATTTCCACCGAGTGAAAAGACAACTTAGCCATTTTTGCTTCAATACAAATTTCACATTTCTTATATGATTCGATTTTAGAATTAGGAAATAATTCTAAATTCGTCAACCGTTTAATTGCATTTAGATTTACATGTCCCAATTTAATATGTCATAAATCAGAGCACTCAACGGTATAAACAAAAATATGCTTTTCATTTTCAATGGTTACACGGCTCAAGGCCATTACATTCATTTTGAACAAACCCTCGTCGAGATAGCCATGACCAAGGAATATTCCAAACTTGCTAAGAATAAATTTCTTAGCATCAAACACCAGCCTAAATCCATGATCAACAAGAAGAGATCCAGAGACCAAATTCTTGCAGATGTCTGGGACATGCAGAACATCCTTAAGCTTCAACTCATTTCCAGAAGTCAGCTTTAGCACCACAGTGCCCACACCAGTCAATCAGACGTGGAGGAGTTTCCCATGTAAATTTTTCGACCCTTAGCAGGAGTGTATTCAGAAAACACCTCCTTATTGGAAAACACATGATGGGTGGCACCAGTATCGATGTACCACTCCCTTGGGTTATCCACCAAATTGGCTTCAAACACCACAACCGACATATCAAAGTCGGTCAGTTCACTCAGCACAGGGTCGTGTTCAGCAACAATGGCACTCGGTTGCCCTTTCTTTGGTCCAACTTTCTTTGACCTCTTGCAGTCTTTCTCCATATGGTTTGGCTTTCCACAGTTGTAGCATGTGCCGGTAAACTTTCAAACCTTGGTTTGCTGCTTCCATTTTTCAAGGGGCTTCCTCTTACTTGAGTTTCCTGGCTCCAGCAAGTTAGCACGGGCCTCCATCATTAGAGTCTTCGCCGATGAATTAGGGTTATCCTCCTCAATACGCAGACGAACAACCAGGTCTTCAAGACTCATTTCTTTCCTCTTATGTTTGAGGTAGTTCTTAAAGTTTTTCCAACCCGGTGGCAGCTTTTCAATCACAGCCGCAACTTGAATGACTCGCTCAGAGACATTCCTTCAGCATATATATCGTGCAAGATAAGTTGAAACTCTTGCACTTCGGACATGACGGTCTTCGAGTCAACCATCTTGAAGTCAAGAAACTTGTCGACGACGAATTTCTTCGCCCCGGCATCTTCTGTCTTGTACTTCTTCTCCAAAGTAACCTAAAGCTCTTTGGCAGAACCAACAGAGTTGTACGCATTATACAACTCATTACTAAGTCCATTCAGAACATAGTGACGGCAAAGGTAATCACCTTGCCCCCAAGCTTCATACACAACGCGTAGTTCAGCATTAGTCTCATTTTCAGCAATGATCGGCGCGTCATCCTTCAGGTATTTCATCAAACCCAAAGTGGTCTGGTAAAAATGCATCTTCTGTTGCCACCTCTTGAAATCAAGCCCGTTAAATTTTCGGGCTTCTCAACAGTAGGGACATGGTCAATAGGTACATGATTGACCGAATGGTGATGTTGAAAACCTGTATGCAATCAGTTCAGTAGGTTGACTATTATTCTTCTTGCGATTGGTTATATA